TATATATGTAACTTAGGAGCTAGAGGGATGCACAAATAACAACACAAACAAAGACTCAAAATAGAAACCCTAACAAAAAAATTTCAACTTTTGCGCACCCCTTCCAGCATTAGGTTCGAGTATTCTTAAATAGCAATGCATCTATTGGGCTTTTCTCCAATGGCCATGTGACTCAAGACCAACAAATTTGAAGGAGATTCAGTTAATATTTGTTTTTCAAAAGGCTCCACCAAAATGATTTTATTTGAATTTAAATCTGCATATAATTAGATTTGATCTTATTAAATCTTTCAAACAAATCTCATTTATAACTTGTTAGCAAATGTATTTAGAACAACAAGAATGTCGCTCAAAATACAATAAAAACGTGCACTGATCACACATAAATCATGGTTTATAGACATGGCCATATGTTGCCGACATGCTAGAACATCTTGTCTCACATGTTGAACCAGAACATTCAAACATCTTGTATTACCCATGTTGTTTTTCCTAATGCAACCAATCAAAGGAACGACAAATAGATATAAAACCTTATTAATAGTTACCACTTCATCCACCAACTCCCTCCCTTTAACCAAAGTAGATTGCTTAGAGGAAGTAAGATTCCCCATCACCCTTGCCAGCCTCGCGATCAAAATCTTATCTACCAGCTTATACAAATAGCCCAAAATAAAAATAGGTCTAAAATATCCCAACCCCAAAGGAGAATCATCCTTCGGGATAAAGATGACAAAAAAAGACATTAGACTATCTGATAGAATAATATTAAGATAAAGCTGTCAGAAAATATCAAAAACCTCAAACTTAATTAACCCCATAACTTCTTATGAAAGGAAAAATTGTAATCATTCAGGCCTGGACTCTAGAACCTATCAATCCCAGAAACCACATCATCCTAATTCGCAGGCATAAACCTAGCAAAAAGAGACTTAACCTCCGCCAACATGAGGCATGGAAGGAAAAACCCGTCTAGGGTAAGCCTAGATTCCAGTAAAATTATGAACTTCTCTTTCAAGAACCAAGAAACTTTCCCTTTAACCTTTGAAACTTTTTCCACCTGCTGATCCTCAATGCGAAGAGAAACCAGGTTTTTCCTCTGACCTCTCTGCTCAACATAGCATATCCATCCTTTAGCCACATCACTCCTGATCTTTGAAACATATACGAATCACTACACTAGATAAGCTCCCACAACTTTTGACAAACCAACAATCTACTCTCAACTCTTCTTTAGAAAGATTCATTAACTCCACCTCGACTCTAAACTCTCAAGCTTACTCGAACAAACCTTGACCTTAAAGTCCAACTCACTAAACATCTCCTTATTTCAAACCTCTATGAAGGCTTTAAGAACTTTAATAACTTATTGTATTGTATATTTATAATGCTTATCTTATTTATTACTAAAAATATTAAATAACATTACAATTAGTTAAAACTTTTGATAACTAAATTAAACACTCAACCAATCAACTTCTAGAGGTTGATTTAACGGTGAAGACTTGCGTCTTATGAGTGTACTCCTTTCAAAGTTCAATGTTTGAATCTTTCTATATATATACAACTTATGTGTTAGGCCAAACTCATACATAACTTTACTCTAACTTTAAATAAGACTCCCCCAAGTTGAGAGTTGATCTGACCTGATCAGGAGGGGATCACGGGATGGCCACGCTCCGTTAGGCCGCTTCCTGTTCACCGGTGTTGAGGATGAGGAGGGGGTGTACCTGCAAAGCACTCCGACGCCCAAGTAAGAAGTTGGACAGAGGGGAAGCGATAGTACAGAAAAGGGGGCAAGAAGAGTTACCTGACCCTCTTGAAGAAGAGGGTATTTATAGAGAGACCCCAGCGCTGGGCCAACGGTCATTCGAGGTGGGCCAGACGACCAGGCTCAACCCTAATGACTGCTAGGGCTTACGTGGCGTAGTGAAGACCAGGACGTGGTCTTCGCCCTAGTTCAACCGCTCCTAGGTCTTCGGAAAGTGGGTTTGACCTGCTCTTTCGGAGGTGGGCGGTTGGCCGATGACGTGTCCCCGCGGAGGGGAGCACGTGGAGAACGTGCGCCGAGCACGTTATTCTCCCGCGGAGGGAGCCCGGGTAGTCTTGCTCGTCCGGTGTGACGGGCGACAAAGGGGATGCGGTGTGATGGCTTGTGCCCGGCGGACGGTCCTGCTCGTCCGAAGGGGCGTGTGCCAGGTGTGCTCAGTTCGCCTGTTGGGCCGTATTTGGTATTGGGCCTGCCGAGGTGAGGCCCACACCGGAACAAGAGTGATACCAATATTAAAAAAACACACCCACTCAATCAAATACCAAACAAAGTCCATTCTGCATATGATTAAAAAAGAGTTATCATGTCATAACTCAAACTATTGGTTACCATATGCTCCTCCTTTGAGAAACATGCACTTGCATGTATGTACATGTAGAAACTTTGAAGAAACTACAAAATGTAACCTTAAAATATACAGAATATATCACTTTATACACTACCCTATACATCCTCATTCAGTATTTGTGATTACTAAATTTACTACAAAAAGAAGGTAAAAGAAAAAAAGTCAAGAGACAGTTATATTCCGTTTTTGATTTCCCTTTCATCCTTAAAGAAAATTGAAAACAAAAAAATAAAATATCCATTAAACCCTAATTCTTATAAAAATATACATCATCATATATCCTACAAATTACGTACCTAAGCAAAGTACTAAAACTCAAATCTAATAATACACAAATTTTCTTTTCCAAGGTTTTAGTACAAATGGAAATAGCAATTTGTTATTGAAAAGATGAGTAAGAAAGTGCAACACCAATTCTTTGATACATAAATTGACTGATAAGAGAGTTTGGGAAGACCCCTACCTTCCCAAAACATCATCAAAAGTGTGTCAGTGTTTTGATGAATTTTCTGGCTTGAAAGTGACACTAGCTAGTACGGGCCACACTAAGAACCCTAATTTTTGTAATTACTAATTTGTCTTTTTTGCTCAGTTGGTATGTTTAATAAATTTTATATTTGGTAGTTTTTTCGACATAGATTTAGTGTATATTTGTATCTAGAGTTTAGATTTTCTTTTTATTCTTTAATATGTATAATACGATTCTAGAATATTCTCAATAGGCAAGAACACATGGTACATGTGGTCAAGAATTCATCTTCTGTTTGTTCATAGTAGCATACAATAATTGACTCATGTCAACTTGTCAAGCTTTATTTTATAAGGCAAACTAGTAGTAGATAATTTTAACGGTAACCATTTCAAATGTTTATAGATTTTTTTATTGCTTATTCAGTTTCTATTTCATAAAAATACTCATAAAATAATTTATAATTTATAGATGATAATAAATCACTCATCATCATAATTTATAGTTTATAATAATTTATAATTAATGGTTGATGATTGATAATTGATAATTTTTTAAAGGTAAATAAATGAGATGCATCAATTTTGAACTCATACTCTTAGATACTCTTTTATCTGATGTTTTTATACAATTTATCAATTGAATTGATTTAACGAGACAAATTCATTTGAAATCAATTATGAAATGATAAATGCATTATTTAATTTAACCAAATGCAATATGTTTGAACTCAATTTTAAAAAGACAATCATAATTCCGTTAAGTTAACTTAATTAATAATTGTGTAGAGATATTAAATCCAAGAGCGTGAGTTCGGATTCGCGATATTTCACTTGTTCACTTTTAAAGGATGAATTCTAGCTGCTAAACTACTTGAAAAAAAAAATAACTATTAAATTTTTTGAATTAGAGATAGAATTTTGTCATTGATTTTATTAATTCAGACAAATTAATATCTGGTTTATAAAAGAATATATTAACTAATTTATATGGTATTAAAAATATATGTTACTTGCTCTAAACTTATTTTGTTATCAATTTATTTATTTATTATTCATTATTTTTTTATCAAAGAAAGTCAAAATATTTAAAGTGTTTTGCTAGATTTGTCATTTCTGAACAGAGATTTTGTGTTTTCTAAGCTTATTTCTATTTTTTTTACCATTATTTGAAGAGCAAAGTAAAATCTTTGTAGCAGCTACACTATTTTACTGCATGGCCCTAGCTTGGGTAAAAAGTTGAAGCTTTATACATACCATATATATCTTCACAACACTAGTTAATTTCTCATGTAAAAATGAAAGAAAGAAAAAAAAATTAATATGTATGATCAAAATTAACACAAACATATACATATAATCCTAGCTTCTTTTCTTTAAATCATTGATTCTTTCAAATTCTATAATAGCTTAAAAAGAACCCTAGCCCTAATCTAACCTAACCCTAATTAAAAAAAAAAAAAAACACACACACATATATATATATATATATATATATATATATATATATATATATATATATATATATATATATATATATATATATATATATATATATATATAAATAAATCATTGATTCCTTGCTTACGTTTGCTTCCACATAATGAGGCAAAATTCCCACAAATTATGTAAGTCTTATCCTCAATTAATCTCTCTCTCTCTCTCTCTCTCTCTCTCTCTCTCTCTCTCTCTCTCTCTCTCTTTCTCTACCCTCCAATCCTTTAGTACAACAAAACCTGATCCAAAAAATTAAGTAATTCACTCAATAATCAAATCCATCTTTCATCATTGGAATACCCTAATAGAAATCTCTTGTTTATTCTTCTTCTTCTGAAATATGTCAGTTTATTTTAAATATTTTTTATTACATTCTTGTTGGATATATGAATTAGTACTCATTGATAGTACTCATTAATTGTACTTACATTAATATATTTTTTTATTATATTCTTTGATACAAAATGTTTATATAAAAGGGTCTATATAGAGGAACATCACTATATGGACTAGTAAGTTGAAAACTCAGAAAAAAGAAGCCAATGAATTATTCAAAGGAAGATAGATAGATACAAAGGGGTCCTCTTCCTCTCACACAAAAATTTCTAGGGCTAAAAAATTAAGTTGAATTTTCCAATGTTCCCTTATAGTTCAAACCCTTATCCTTCTTTTCTTCCTTCATCTTCTTCATCTTCTTCTTCTTCACTCTTTCCTTTTCCTTTTCTTAATCCTGAAAATGCTTCTTCAACCAACAATAACAACACTCTTTTTCATGATCCATTTTCTATTCCTTATATACCAACTCACCATCATCATTCTCATCTTCATAACATTACCAATATTCCAGAAACCCTAACAAACTTGGCTGTTTCACAAGATAGTAACAACAATATTAATAATATTGCGGTTCCGATGCCGAAACAAGATCCTTTAACTCTTGGTGGTGGTTCTCACTATGGAATTTCTTGTTTCCTTACTAAGAAACCGGCGAAAAAAGATCGGCACAGCAAGATTTACACTTCTCAAGGCTTGAGAGATCGTAGGGTTAGGCTTTCGATCGAGATCGCTCGAAAGTTCTTCGATCTTCAAGAGATGTTAGGGTTTGACAAAGCTAGCAACACCCTTGATTGGCTTTTCACTAAATCTAAGAAAGCAATTAAGGATCTAACAAAAAGCAAGCAAAGAAACAACAATAGTGAAGTTGATGGTGATGCTAAAAGCTTCGCATCTTCTTCGGATTGTGAAGATTCAGAAGTTGCTACTAATGATTCCTTAAACCTACAAAAGGAGGGTGCAGGAAGTAAAATTGAAGATAAGAAGTTGAAAAGAGTTCAGATCAAAGAACCTGCTTGTGCTAGAGCAAGTAAGATGAAGGAGTCAAGAGAAAAAGCAAGAGCAAGAGCAAGGGAAAGAACTAGTAACAAGATCTCCAACAACAACATAAGGGGGGTGCAGGAAGTAGAATTGAAGAAAAAGTATGAAAATAGTAACAATAATAATAATCTTCAAGCTTTTCACCAATCAAGATCTTCATCACAAGATCATCAAATTGTGAGTAGTAATGAAGCACAAAGAGGTAACTTTAATGTTATTGAAGAATCAATTGTGATTAAGAGAAAGTTGAAGCCTTCTTTGATGATGCATCATCATCATCACCATCAACAAAACCATGTGATTCCTAAGGAAGCAACAAGTTTCAACAACAATGGTGATTATAATTTCTTGCCTAATTCATCTCCAAATTGGGATGTTAATAATGGTAGTTCTTCTACTAATAGATCCACCTTTTGTGCAATAGCTAGCATGAATCTTTCTACAGGTATGTCAGAGTGTGTTTTATTTCATGAATTAATTAACAAATGCCATAATAGAGGTTAGAGTAAAATATAATGAAACCAGCTTAATTTTCTTCTTTGATTTTCGTTGGTAATTAATTTTTTTTAATATATTAAAATTTACAATAATAAATAGTATAAATTTATTAAAAATTATGACTTAGAAATAAAATATTATTTGCCTCAAATTCCATAATTTTGAGTGTTCAAAATGGAAGATTTAAAGACCAACAAAATATTTTTTTATATTTAATTTTTGTTGGGATATAAAAATTTTCTATTCTTTAAAAAGAAAGTTATCTTGAAAAAAAGTCTGAATTTAAATTATGATTAATTTTTTATTATATTTTGTATATTAAATATTAAAAGACGGTAAATTTGAGGCCGACTTTATTTATGTTGTTGTGCTTTTTTGTTTTAAAATTCAAATATTTTTTTTGGATATTTTGATTATATTTAATATATTCTTTAATTTTGTATCTTAAATGTTAAAAGAAAGTAAATTGGAGACCAGCTTTATTTTTGTTATTGTAATTTTTAGTTTAAAATTCAATTTTTTATAAACAAAGAACAATGATACTCCAACTCAAATTATAAAGTTAGTGTTTGCAAGAAATTCAATTCAAATTACAAATAAATAATTCAATTATTTTTGTTCTATATCTTCTTAAAAAAACCTAACATTTAGATGATATTAATTACTGTTGTGAGTGATACTTTTTCAGGGCTTCAAATCTTTGGAAAATCATGGGAAGAATGCACCAACCCACGTCTACATTAGTATGTTAGTTTTATAATTTTTGTATTATTTATCAGTGTAACTTTTTCTGTCCTATATATTCTCCTTAATTTCAACAATGTTTGTACCATGATGTGTTTGTTTCTCATGATAGTGATCATCCAATGGCGTGTGACATTTGACCTAAAAAGGTTGCTGAGTGTAATATTAATTTATGACTAATATTTAAAATTGTGGTTGACATTCTGTTTGATTTCATATTTTTGTTAATTTTTGAGTTTTATTGGTAACAAATAGTTATATATTTTTGTAATGTTTAGCCTCATATAGTTTAAAATTTACAAACGGTTTAAAGAAGGTATACTCTTGTCCATTTTCTTTTTCTTCTTGATAGTGGAGATTTGAAGATGACTTGATTTAGGTTACACAATGCCTAAATTAATAATTGTGCCTGACAAACCGATAAACTAGGTTGTTAATTAAACACCTTTGATGTGTACATATGCATAATATTAGGAAGATCCTAAAAGTTTCACATTGGTTGGAGATAGAATATTGAAATAGTTTATATAGAGTGACATCCATCACCTTACCAACCGATTTTGTAAAGTTGTATTAGGTCAAACTCTAATATGATATCAGAACCTATCGATCGGACCTTGGACAACCTACGGTTTAAATCCACGCACCAAGTCCAAAAAGAGTGCTGGGCGTGAGGGGGTGTATTAGGAAGAGTGACACCCCTCACCTTACCAACCGGTTTTATAAGGTTGTGTTAAATCAAACTCTAATATAGTAAGATGAGAGGTGTCACTTTATATAAACTATTTCAATGCTCTATCTCTAACTAAGGTGAAACTTTTAAGATCTACCTAATACACAACAAATCAACAATTTCAATACCAATACTATAGGCCATGTTCACATTCTTTCATATTTATCATTTTTAATTTAGTATAGAAGTCTTTATTTGCAAAACTTTATATGATACTAACACTTATGGAGCATGTTAGTTTGATACATTAAATGATTAACATGAAAGAAAACATATAATATATTTAATATCATACCTAAATATATGAAATCATAAAGCAAATATAATGTTTTTTCTTTTATTGAAAAAATAATATATTAAAACAACAAGGAATAAATCTCTCTAGAAGGTACAATAAGGGAAAGATGAGAAATCACAAAAATATTTAATTGATAATGGAAAAAAAAATTCAAACAATAAAAGTAAACAACAAAACAATAGAAGAATATGTTAGATCTCACACTACCACCAGAAACATCATTATTAGAACAAAGACTCTAAAAAGACCAGCTATCAAGATCATGAATTTAGGGATGACAATTATACCAAACCTCATTAAGTATTTGTAAAATATGTATGGCCTCGGGCACAAACAATTACCTACTAAAATATGTGAGTATGAATATTTTAGTACTTAGTCCAGCTCATAGTCGCACAATACATATTTATATATTTTTATTTTCATGTTAATCTAACAATTTTATTAAATATATTACTATTAAATTTCTACACATTTTAATATAAATGTTTATTTATTTCTTAACTCAACAACAACATCTTCAAATTTTTAAATGTTGATAAAAAATTAAAATGATATACTGATTGATAATTTTTATTAGAAAGATGGGTAAACAGGGATAGGTATGGGTACTTAGGTACCTATAAGGTACGAGTACGAATACAAACGATGGTACCGACATGGATATGGGCTCGAGTACAAGAATTTTTTTAAATCGAGAATTTATAAACGAGTACTATAATATTCTACCCAAATTCTATCAATTGTCATCCCTAATCATAACACAGTCTAAAAATTAAAACCAAAACGATTCACTATTGATTAAGGCAACGAAATGAAATCAATTATAAATAATATATAAGTTTATCATTCTCTTCCACATCTTTCAGGTTTGTTGAACAATCAAAAAAGAAAAATTAATACCATTTGAAGCAATCCAACTAAACTAAATAATTGCAAGTCAAATCAAAGTACAATCACTCTACTAATCGACTTACCACCTAAAGAGATAAATAAACTAAAAAAAAAATATAAATCAGTAAAGAGAATCACCTGTTAACCTAATTCCTTAAAAATCTTAAATCACACAGTAGAAACTAAATCATAGGGGATGATAAATAAATGAGAAACCAAGTCAAAACTCTAAACTATCTTATCATTCTGTGATTCCATAATAACAGTACTATTGGAAAACTCTGCAAAATTTGTACAAATATCCAATCACTCGTTCAAATATAAAATTAAATAATTAAACACTTGAAACCATGAAATTCCATCACTATCATAATCATTGCAAAACGTTTACTTTGGTCTTTGTGTTGCATGCCATTAGAACTTCGTAAATTGTATGGATTAATGCAATAATATCTTCATAGTACTAGTATTTTCATAAATATTTGATATATTACAAGTTTTGTAACAAGTTTCATAATTGTTTTTTTAGTCCCTTTCATTTCTAAGAGGGGTGCCACATTTTTACTTGCAATTCATATTTATCTTATATATATATATATATATATATATATATATATATATATATATATATATATATATATATATATATATATATATATATATATATATATATATATATATATATATATATATATATATATATATATATATATATATATATATATATATATATATATATATATATATATATATATATATATATATATATATATATATATATATATATATATATATATATATATATATATATTACTTTTTTATTTTGATAATATGTTTTTCATTTTCTTTATAAATTACTACTTCCGTTTTAAAATAATTTTGTTTTAATAAAAAATTGCTTTAAAATTGAATGTCATTTTTATTTTTAAATATAAAAATATTACTATTTTTTCAGTTGTAATCTTTAATTAATATTCATTTGTATGTTATTTTTGACACATTTATAAGATTAATTTAGTAAAAACGTAATGTTTAATCAAAATATAATTATATTTTTTCATTTGTGTAAAAAAAATTTTAAACGACAGTATTTTGAATCAGATAAAGTAATTTTTATTAAAATAAATATAAAGATGAAGTAGGTGAAATAGCTCAACTGATATATTATTTGAGTTAAATAAATATAAATTATTCATTTAAAATTTACACTTATTTGGACGACAATATGTATATATCAACAATTTCTATAAATAAATGAATATAAAGATACTCAAGATTATAATATCTTCAACCAAATACATTGGAAAGAAGATAGTAGATATATTCTCCAAATACATTGCAAAAAAGATAGTAGATATATTCTCCAATATTTTTAATGACCTAAACAATTATTTTGATAAAATAAATTAATTTGTTAATTAAAGCAGATTGAGACTTTTACCCTTAATTTGGCGGGCAAGTTAATGAAGGGTGTAATAGATAGTTTGTCACTTTTACTCTTGATTGGTTTTTTCACCAAAGTGAAATCAACAACTTTTTTCTTCTATTAGTTTTTTCATGAGATAAAATTAACAGCAAAAAAACTATTATCTAAGTTGGATTGCGAGAGGAGAGAAATGGTTTGATCATAGTTAGTTTCTTAATGTAATCTCTTCTTTTAATATTACTAAAATTATTTTCTTTAATACATGCATGTTAAAAATGTGTAATGTTGTTTGGAAAACATATGTATGTAGTTGTTGTTGTTATTATTGTTGAGTTTTAATATAGTTACATTCATATTATCTTAACTAACATCAAACATTTTTAACAAGTATCTATTTAAAAAAATAACTTTAACAATTATAAGAGAAGATACATTAAGGAACCATGCAACCTTCAGACATTTCTCTGCCCTCCAATTCATCCTAGAGAGTGGTGTTGTACTACATGTAATATTTTCATTATAAGTATTTTCATTATATTAAGTTTGCATTTCAACACTCTTCATCCAAGATAAACGGTTATGGTATTTATGTTTTAATTGGTTAGTGTCAATTTCACGCAAATCTATATTGTTTCATGTAGATTGATAAGTTAGTTATGTCTTGACACTTGTTATTTTATATATGGGTGGCAAAGATTTGTTACTTATACATAAATAAAAAATAATTTACCCCTTTGTTGCCCCCAACTACCGAGAGAATAGGTCATAAATAAATAAATACAAATTTAAAAATGTTAAAAGTACAGTTGGTGAGATTATAAGGGGGTTGATCAAAACTTTTTCTCCCGGTTGTCAACTCAACTGAGAGAATAGATCATAAATAAAAATTACAAAAATAAAATAAAATATGTTAAAATACAGTTGTTAGGATTTGAAAGGGTGTTGATCAAAAATCTTTCCCTCGATTTTAAACACAATCGAGAAATTAGATAGTATATTTTTAAAAAAATTGAAATGTGGTGTGCCTATAGTTTACACCTCGACTACTCATTGGATGAGGTTAAAGTTTTGTCTTAACATGTATTATTTGATGTAGTGCTAAGATTACAACTAAGATTATCCTAAACTCTTATCTTTGTCTTTAGCTCTAAAGATCTGAAAATTTTGAAGACAAGAATGATAAAAATACATATTTATAACTTTCGAAATCCATCAGATCCATAACAAGCGCAAAACACGACCCATTAATAAAAGAACCCACAAAATAAAACAATGAAACCTAATAAACGTCAACTGAGAAAATCAGACTCGAGCACCGAAGAACTATATCACCCACCGGACGGCGGTCTGCTATATATTTATGACAAAAGCCATTATTAAACACACTTTTGAGAGAGCTTGAACTACTCATTCCACCTAGTTTTTTCTGTGTTTTAGCAGTGCTATTTTAGTGTGTTTAATGACAAAAGCCATTTAAACACATCCTTATAAAACCTCTATTTCGAACTTTGATAACTTTCATGAAAAAGCTATAAAACTAACAAATTAACTACTAATCTCCATTCAAAACAATAATTAAATTCTAATTATTTACAAAGATAACATTACCTGAAATAACACCTTGTTGAACATAGAGAAAGAAGAACTTG